TGAAACAGTTGTATTTTGTAAGGAGAGGGAGAAGGACACCAGAAAAGAGGTCCAAGTTGAAAGGCCCATTGCAAGAAAGCAAAAGAAGTTAGGAAATAGGAATTCAAAAAGATAAACCTAATACTTACAGAAGGAATGAGAGTAAACAGAGCACACACTCCTATTAAAATATATATACATCACAAAGTTTTCAAACAAAACTTAAATATGCTTACTTCTGTGCCCGAAATACTTTCTTCCTTCATTAATGCTGCCTTACTTTCAGCTTAACCATCCATTTTGTTCAGAGAGATTTTTTTTTAATTGGAAAGTCAGATTTATAGAAAAGAGACAGAGAAAGAACTTCCATCTGCTGATTCACTCCCCAAGTGGTCACAATGGCCAGAGCTGAGCCAATCTGAAGCCAGCAACCAGATTTCTTCTAGATCTCCCATGTGGGTGCAGGGTTCCAAGGCTTTGAGCTGTCCTCTGCTGCTTTCCCAGACCACAAGTAGGAAGCTGGATGGGAAGTAGACCAGCCAGGATACAAACCATTGGCCATATGAGATCCCAACACGTGCAAGGCAAGGACTTTAGTCACTAAGCTACTATGCCAGTCCCTCAGTGAAACATTTTGTAACTACTCAGGCCACAAGGGTGTCTAAACTTCATGGCTTCTTTTAAAACTTACAGATCCAATTTTGCTCCTGATTTACAATGTTTATCTAAGTCTTGGTCTTCAACTGGGTTGAAAGTTGGGAGTTTACTCTCCATTTCTTGGGCTGGTCTTATGACTAACTCTAGCCAAAGTGGCAGTGATGATTTGCTAGTTCCAAGCATATACCTCAGGGAATTTGCACACTTCATCTGGTTTTCTTGGAACTTTGCCAAGATGCCTTGTGAATAAGCCTGGGACAGGCTACTTGTGAATGAGAGCCTACACAAAACAGAGAAAGTGTCAGCGTAGCTAAAGCTTCCTAGACCAGCCAGTTTAACCTCAAGGTATGAGTAAAACTAGCTGAATCAATAATAAATTGCCCATCTGCAAACATTTGTGTAATAAATGATTCTCATATATCAAGCTAATATACTATGGCATGATTTATTATGCAGCAAAAGCAGTGAAAATAACTGAAAGATACACAATGGCTTTATCCCTCTAATGTACTATTTATTAGAGTGTGCCCAATATTTGGACCTAGTATTTGATGATTACACATTTGCTTACAGAGGGCAAGGGTTGTATTAGTCATTTATGTATTACCATAACCCATTAGTTGTACTTTGTTTATAACAGGCACTCTATTTGGTAAAGTAAACTGATATGAAAATCAAATTCTAGTATTTACTAGCATTGATCTACCTACTGTTCAACCACAGAAGCAAAAATATAAATCAAAGTATTTTTAAAGAATCAAGGAACTGTGAAGAATTTACTATTAACCCTGCACTATAACTCTCTGCTGTCACTAATGGCCAGCAGGTATTAGTCCATGCATCACCCTTGAAGACAGTTTTAATTATAGGAGTCCATGTACTTCTCAGGATTTAACATTAGTTCAAATTTAGATTTTGGTAGAAATATGTGCATGTATTTGATATTTATGTGTGAAGTTGTAATGCAATCCTATTTTAATGAAGTTATAAGAACAGAAAATATAAAATGTTAATGAAGGGGATTCTGACTTGCACTATTTCACTTTATTAAAAGCAGGTTTTCTAAAACCAGAAAACTGACAACTGAGATGTGTATGTAAATGTACTTTAACTCTGAAGTTCAATACAAATGCAGAATATCATGAAAGCTTGTACATTCATAATGTCAGTCACTCTTGTCCTTAAGAAGGAAGAAAGACAGAATAGACAACACAGGTGAAAAAGGAGGAATAATTTTGCTATCCACATCTAAGCTGCTTCCTAATGAAATTAGCACTCCATTTATTATAGTCTGTACAGGGATCATTTCAACACATTTACATGTTTTGAATATTTTGTTAAATTGTCATTCAGTTGATAGTGTCTGAAAACCTCTAAAGCAAGAGAACATGAAAGTATGATCAAAATGAATATGCTTATGCACTGGGGAGGCAGTTCTATTCAATGACAGCAAAATATCCATGTTTCACTGTACTGGGGGCAGAGCATCTTTATACGTGTGTGTATACCCTACAGTTTGCTTTAACTTTAACCTCTTCCCTTAACTTCTGTCATTTTTGCTTAATATTTTTCTCCTTGATGTATATATGCTATAATGATTATATCAGCTGGGAAGCTAGATAACTTAATTAGGATCTAAAAGGTTTAGACAGACCACTGAAGGGTGGTAGAATCCATGTTGCTAATGGAATCTACGTTGATGGAAAAATGTAGGCCAATGAGAGTAAAGTCTTCAATTCTGGTCCATATAAAGACTAGATAAGAACGAATCACGTGGAGGAGACTTGATTATAGCAAGAAGGAAGTTCAATAACTCAGGAATAGAAAGACACTCCTCCCACTTTGGGATGTATTAATACCAGCAGAATGAGTTAAGAGATCATTGTTGAATGAGATAGATTTTAATTCAACCTGAGAAACATTTTTTTTTCTGGTAATTATTACTATCCTAGTGTAGAATTTGCTGTTTCGGGGCAGTGAGCTTTCCTGCAGAACAGTATTCAAATCTAAGGTGGGTGCTACACAGGCATTTAAGTACCAAGCACAAGACCTTACTATGGGTTTTTAAGATCAGCCTCATATCTCCAGGTTCACAAAATTCTATTTCAGAATTCTCAAGAGTACATGCACTTAAAAAGGACACTTAATCATGCCTCATTTGATGTTAGGATTTCTCCTATGGAAACACACTCCTATTTATAGTCAACATCTTTAAAGTTCAGAAATCTTTCTAAAAGATGCCCACTTTAACTAAGTTCTGGAAATGACTAAGAACTTCAAGGAGACAAATATTTTCAATACAGAAGATAGAATGGTCATTTTTCTCACCATGATTCAATCTACATGAGGCTTGCTAATAATGAGCTACAGCCAACAACTGTAGGAAGTTTTAAAAAAATGATCTCAGTTAGATAAATTATCCCTTTAGGCTTCTTAAAGGCAGACGGAGGTTGGTAGAAAGTAGGTGATAGAATCAACAGAAATTATTCTCTGTCTTTATTAGCAAAATCTTGGAGTTTGGGTTTCTACAACTAAAACATAAGAAATTTTGGAAACAGAAATATAATAGTAATAATAATAAACAGGCACTTAAGCGCTAATGGAGAGTTCATGAATACTGCAGCATTCACCCCAGCTCAGACCCACCTTCTTTTGGCTCTGCTTTTTAACTTACTCTCTTAGTTAACATTTTCTGTGAATGCTAGTTGCTTTCCATAGGGACCAAAACCACAAACTAGAGAGAATGACTATACTTTTTTTTCATGAGTAGCAAGAATGGAAAATTTTTCCCTTTGAAGTATTTCTCCAGTGAAATTATACTTTTACTTTCCAAGAACTACCAATTGGCTTGGGAATTTCTGAGAAGCAATAGTGGGGGTGGGGTAGATCCTACCCAATAGATACAACCTCAGAAAATTCTAAAGCAAAACCCCAATCTTTCAATCTCATCATGTGTCACAGGGTTAAAACTTGCACATGTTAGTTGAGTTTTCAAACTCACAGGTGGAAAGTCGCAAGTGTGGGAAGGCATACTCGGTTCTATTTGTGACCATGCTGGGAAAGCCTTTATGTAAAGAGAACACCCACCTCGGGCCCCAAATATTAAGTTGACACACGTTTCTGGGACACAGCCTGAATCCTCAAGCTTTGGTAGGTCTGGAGACACACAATTTTCTGTTTTCTGTTTAACAGGGCTTTCCAGAATTGTCATCAGATGACAGATTGCACCGCCCATCTACAAGGATTCAGGGGTAGCGCAAGCCATCCATTATGGATTAAAAGCTGTTGCAGCATGAATCAAGTCACAGGGGTAGGGGAACTACCGATACAAGGGGTCCTATAGCTTTAAGAAATACCCTGGGTATCTACAAGTTTTCAGAATGCAAACTATGTCAGCTCTGAAAACAAGAGGCACTGCATCATTATGGCAGGAGAAACAAAGCCAGCCCCTTTTTAAAACAGACAAAAAAAAAAAGATTGTTTTAATAGGAGAGCAGCATCAGTCATTGATTCTTACTTCATTCACACTTTCTATCCAACCCCATCCATCTTCAGAGTGAAGAGATGACAGAGCCCAGTTAACTCTCTCCTTTTTTGGGCCCCCGCCCATCCAACTTCACTATATCCAAACCACCAAGCTCTACCAATCTACTGATTTCAATCTACAAAAAAACAGTCCTACAGAATGGCTCTTTCTAACTAATAGGCTTCCCAATGCTCAGGTATGCCAAAATACCAGGTTAGATCACATTACTTGAATAGGCAGCACATCAGTTTAGCATGACGGGTCAGGGTCTTTGCCAGCCATCTTCAAAAACAACCACTAGTTGCTAAAGGCTGACCACATTCTGCAAAGGAAGGGATCGGAAGACTTAAGGCAGCAGAGGAAAACCAACAAACCAAACCAACAATCTGGAACATAAAATCTTTTTTTTTGTTTGTTTGTTTTCTCAAATGCTGCTGGCCATATTATCTGCAAACAAAAGTTCTCCAAGCAGTCAGTCTCTGCATCAGTGCACCTGCTTAGCATTGGTTTGCTGAGTTATCTTTTTGCTGTGTCTGCAGAAGCCAACCACAACACAATGGGTCACATCACTTGAGGGTCACTTGAGTCCCTCTTCTCTCTTGGTCCCTCCTCCCACCCCCTGCCTTCCCTGCTACCCACAAAACCTTTAACTCCACCATAGCTAAGGATCCCAGATAGCTAAATAAAAGAGGTGGCCTCAAACACAGGGAAAAACCCTTAGGTCTCCAGTGTGAATCGCCAATGCCAATCCTGCCCCCCTCCCCTTTTCCTTAAGACCTGATGGTCTTCAGTCACACATCTTAAAAGAAAAACAAAAAACAAAAACACAAAGACTTACTTGTCTCAAGTCGATGAAGGCCAACTGCAGCGTGTCCTCCTGGAACCCAGGCACCGGGCCGGATCTGGCAAACTCTGTGGGAAAGAAAAGAGGATAAAAAGCGCCTTTAACTAACCATGGACAGGGAGATTGGCAGACGGATGACAGGGAAGACAAGAGAGGCTGGGGGAGAGGAGGACCAAGCTTCTAAGGAGTCATGTCTCTCTCCCTTCAGCTTCTTTGTTTGCCCTTCAAAATTCGTGTCATCAAAACACCATTAATTCCAGCATCCTGACAGCAAGGAAACTGTACTAATTCGACCTGAAATTTATTCCCATGAGCTGCGCTGGGCTTTAGAGTATTTGTTTTGTGAACAGACAAACAACTTGCAAAGGAGGAGGGAATGGGGGAAAGAAAAAAGTTTTTCCTCTCAACACAATAAAATCTTCAGCTGTGAAACTCTTTTCAGTTCCAAAAGCTATTTATATTTTAGATTGCTGAAGGAATTTTCTAATTTCACGCTTGTCACCTCATTCCCTGAGCATTTATCAAAAAATATTCCCTGCCACATCATTAATTATTCCCTCACTGATTATTTGTATTATCTCATGAGTGCATTATTGCCTGGATCCCCCCGATGCCGCCCAACACACACCCAGCAGCAGAGGCTGCCCAATCAGTTGTGCGGCTTTTAAGTGAAGGCGTCTGTACAAATATGAAAAGGCCCATCTGAAAAAAAATCTAACTCTAAAACTGGGGCGACATTTGTTCATATTTGTCCTTCCTGTGTATTCTTTGCCCTTGACTTGTTTTCATGCTACTCTCAAAAATTCTTCCTTCTCTCCCTTCTGTCCCAGTTTAGTCGTAGGTCAAAGAGCCCACATGAATATTATTTGCAATTTACAATCGCACCTTGGGTACAAGCACAGTTTATGACTCTGGCTTCCGTGTTGTTAAGCAGAAGGTGGGAACACAAGGCTATAGGGACAAATCCTAGTAACAGTTAAGAATGTCAAGTTTTATTGTTCCCGAGCTCTGCATACTGCGAAATCAAAAGATCTTAAGCCCCCTTCCCAACACACATGCACATAAACACATAGGCACACACATACATGGCAAATTCAAAACCTGAACAGTTATTATGCTTTAATTTTTGTTTAAGAGACTGTTACGAAGCCAATGTAATGAACGTTTAATAACAATCAACTACTTATCTCAAAAACAACTCAGGTGTCTGTTCAAATATGAAAGGCAGTTATCTTTCCTTCAATAGTATTTTTCTTCACAATCTAAGAAGCTGTAGAGAGTTGATATCTTATTTTGAAATTAAATAAAATCCATCAAGATGCTTCTATGTTTCCAAAAAATTATTTCCAAACTAGGTGAAGCCAAATGATCATTATGAACAATGATAAAAAAAATTTAAATTATTTTCTGGAATTACTTTAACATATGAGTTTCCATAAAATTTAATCTTATGTTAAAAAACAATATTAACAATTTATGTTGTAGATATTACAACATTATGTTAAATGAAATTTGCAACAATTCGTTAATTAAAATACAACACAAGTGGCTTTATAGCTACATACAAAATACTATTATTCTACATATTTCAACTAAAAATGACTCATGAATGTACTAAGACAAACTATAGCATGATTAGCACTATAAAATTTTCTATTCGCTTTGAGAAGACAATCCAAAAGCCATTTAAAAATTCTATCATAATTAATGTATGTAATAAAAGTCTTAAGAGTAAATTAAAAAATTGTACAATTATGAGATAAAGGATATGTTAACAAGAAGCTTGGCAGAATCCACCATTCACACTAACAACTATTATCTTTGATGGCCTCATATACAGTAACTGTTGAAATCAAATGTAACAATTTTCCCACACTAAAATCCTGCTAAAAAGAATTCTTTGGGCCACAAGCACTGTTTTTGACAGCCTCTATTATTGAATAACTAGCTGAAATAAGCTCTTCCAGGCTTGATGGTTTCTCCCAAAATTGATTATCAGTCTTGATGCTGCATGACTCAAATCTGGGCTACCTCATCTAAAGTTTTGTCAATAAGAACTTCACTTGAGTCAAAATACATCAAGGATTGAGATACTCTACTGTCCTATATATGTGCAACTTGACAGACTTGCTCTGTAAATGCCTACGAGCTGGCTACACATTCTGGACTTTCCGTGCTGAGCACGCTCCCTGGGGCTAATAGATGCAGCTGATGAAACCACTCAGGAATCTGGATGTGATGCATTTTTAGTTCTCAAAGTCTCTTTACAGGCTTCATTTTTATGACATACTGAATCTTCCAGGTTCCCGAAGGATATGGTAGCTTTTTAAGATTGGAGTTTCCTATTTACAAATCAAGGAATCAGAGACCGTCCCTATGACATGACAAAGTGAAAAGGTTAATTTTCATATACAGTTTGTGAAAATGCCTAATTACTTTATATTTAACTGAATATTTATATTTGTTATCCTGATATTTTAGGTGCATAATTCTTGTCTTCCCATGTAGAGATAGTAAATTCCTTAGGGGAAAAAGGTCACAATTCAAAACTAACAAGTATTTAAAACAGGCAATGATCAACACACACACTGTGTTTTAATTAAATAAGTTATACAAATAGAAAGCTTGGTGAACCACATACACTCCTCACAGCCAGGAAAACTTCTGAACTGCAACATGTAAGGGGCCTTTCATCTGAGTACCAGTAAGTACGCTGTAGAAAAATTTAGGAGTTCCTTAAAATCACAAGCATATGATTAGGCGCTGGGCTGCGGGGTAATAAAAAATCACAAGTCAAAACCCGGCTTTCCACTTACTAGCTAGATGGACTTGCACAAATCACTTAATCTCTTTAAGCTTCGATACCTTTATCTTAAAAAGGAGGGTAATAACAGAGCCACTGTGAAATAAACCAAATTGGCAGAATGCCTGGTGTATCATAATTGATTATCATTATAATTAGGCTTTTCATGTGAATATGCATTTCTCTGCAAAGGTCCAAAGTTTTAATTTTATTCTCAGAGAACTGGTGGCCCAAGAAAGGTTAATACCGCTCTATATTTAGGAAAAAAACTGTGGAGAAATTTAGCTGCCACTCAGTGCTGAATGAGTGCATTGGCATTGCAAACTTCATTTATACACAAATATTCGCTTCATTAAAAGAAAGTTGATGTGACTAATTATTGCTGTGTTTGCCACAGTGCAAAAATTTTCATTTGCATTATTCTTTAAAAATTTATTGCATACAGAAAACAGACCTCCAGTAATTTTGCGACTTGATATACTCATAGAACGTGATTTCCTTAGAATCAATTTTTTAAAACATGCAAAATGTTAATAGTGTAAAAATATCAGTATTTTAAAAAGAAAAATTAGAATTTGTAGATGGTCTTATTTTAACAACAAACTATAATATGCATAGAAAAAATGATACTAAGCACTCACTCCTAATGCTAACCAAGGCTACAACAGAAAAGGAGGTTAAGAAAAGGTCTTTTCTTCTTTTTAAATTTTATTAACTTTTACAATCAATATGCATAATTTTGTAATCTGAGAAAAGGAAACAGAACACACACATTTGAGAATACATACACCCACAAACACATTATGTAGTGGTGTTTATGTACTAGCACTTTCTCTAATGATATAATTTGTTCAAGACTTAGCTTTCTATGCAGCTGAGATTAGTCTGTACCCCCAATTTCCAGATGTTGACTGACAGACATGAGAAAAACTTCGTATGGGGAGGGACTCTCCTTCTGCTGTCAGAAGATGGAACACACATCCTCTTGGGAAAGATGTTCAGGTCAGTATGTCTTGTGACCAGTAACAACTTCCTCCCAAGTGTTTGACCCTCACTTTCACCCTTGTCTGATCCCTGTTAGACACTCACAGAATCGAAGCTGGTATTAGTGCCTGACTCCAAAATCCAATTTGTAAATGAGCAAACTTTTTCAATGAGGGAATTGCCAATACATGAAAGTTTACGAAGGGTACATTTTCACTTTAAAAAGTTTAGAGGAGTTGTGCAACAATATAGGAAAGAAAGTCTGTTTTCAGCAAAGACGCAAGAGGAAAAACAAGTGTCACATAAAAACTTTGCTTATTACAGATCCAACAGCACCTCGTACTCTCATACATGTATAATTCTATATGATGTGATAATACCATGGTAATTGTTCAAAAATCTTATAAATTTATGTTTCTAATAGTCTTCACATTACAATTCATTAAAATTATAAGGTTAAAAAGGGGGGGAGAGAGGTAGTTAATTGCACTAATTCCAAAATGCTTACTGGATTTCCTGAAAGCTAATCTTAAAAATTAAGAACCTCTGTTACTTAGAAGAAGAAAAACAAATTCTTTCAATTTTAATTATCTAACATGATCATGCTTGGTCCAGGGGGAAAAAGACACCAAAGAACACAGAATACCAAATTAGAATAAAATGATAGTTTTAGAGTCTGAATGGGCTTTGCAGAGTCAAAATGGTTGCATTAGGCTATAATCTGGATGTTAACATAGGACATTTCAAGATCCAAGTTCTGAAAAAAAAATAGCATGCATTGAATCTTTGCAAATTGTCACCTGAATGTGAAAAGTATTTTTAAAAGGAAGACAAGCAAAAAGGAAAAGTATATTTCAGGAAAGCAAAACTATACAATGTCTGGCAAATAGATAAAACAAAAATTGTGGGACAAAAACAAAATGTGTTCCAATCAGAGGAAAGTGAAAAGACAAACTAGACCCAAGAGGTCCCCAGATAACATCAGTGTATTATTGTTCCCAGTGAACTTCCAGTCCAGACAATGGACAAGATAGCATCACTGGCTCTTGGTGAATGGATTAGGCATTTGGTTTTGGTCAAAATACTAGATACATAAGAAAATTCAGTACTTTAGAGCCAAAAGCATACTGGGTACTTGTTTATATCTTAAGATCATGTCAGGTCACATGTGTTTTTTGTGAGATTGAAAAAAATAAGGGTTGTTGTTGCTTTATTAACATAATGGTTTCCTGGTATCTAGCTCCCTGGAGCAAGAGAAAGGGGTGCACTAGACTACGAAGT